TTTCAGTATGCTGGCAGGAGCTGGGAGGGTTTTTTTAATGATAGAGTAGCTCACTCTCCTGAGGCTTAGGGAAGTGTTTGACCTCAAACTCAGAATCACAGAACCTCCTGGGCTGGAAGGGACCCACAAGCATCATCAAGCCCAATTCCTGACCCTGCACAGGACACCCAATAATCCCTCCACGTGCTTGGTCCCACTGCTTGCCTGTCAAAGTGAAGGCTTGCTTGATCATTCCATCATTTTAAAAGCCCATTTGCAGACAGGATCAGCTGCAAACATTTCAAAAGCCTCTATTTTTATTTAGCTCTAATTTTTCCTTCCTGCAGACGTGTCCAGGCTGCTGTACCAAAATAGGGTGTGTGTGAAACGCTTGACTGGAAGAAAATGAATCATATTCCTGGTGCTGTGAGCTTGCCCTGTAAATAAAAAGGCAGCTGGGGCAGTCCTGACCCTGCCCTGGCTGCTGGGTCAGGGTTTCCCTGGGGCTCTGAGTGCTGCCAGCTGGATGCTGGTGCTGAGTGAGCACGGGGCTGCTCAGCCTCAGCGTGGTTTCAGGAGTGAGGAATGAAATCCCTCTCCAGAGCAGGATGCTGCTGCAGCCTGCCACGAGTGCAGCTCCTGGCCAGCTTCCAGAGCCGTGTCTGTGCCAGCTGCAGCAGGCAGGGGTCAGTTGAGGGCACCATGAGGAACCGGGCTTGGATCTGAGGGGCCACCACGGCTTTCTGGTGCCTCATCTCCTTCTGCAGCATCACAGAGCTCTGCCTGCCCTGGGTGGCTGAGCAGGGGTGTTGTGAGCACTCAGGGCATCTCTCAAATGTCCAGCTCAGCTCTGGAACGTGGCACTTGCAGTTGGTTCTTGCCTTGCTCCCACTTGTGATGCAGCCATGGAGGTGCTGGTTGAAGAGCTGGGGATGTGGAGGCAGGAGGAGGTGCTGCCCTAAGGAGCAGAGTTTATACTTGAAATCCTAGTGGGAGATGGTAAGAGATGGTAAAATATTCATGCAATTTGTTGGGACAACCCTAAACCCAAAAGGGCAACAGAGCTGGGGAGGGGTTCTGATGAGGAGCAGCTTGGGGAGCTGGGGAAGGAACTGGAGCACCAGGAGGGGCTGAGGGAGCTGGCAAGGGGCTCAGCCTGGAGCAAAGGAGGCTCAGGGGGCCCTTGTGGCTCTGCACAACTCCCTGCCAGGAGGGGACAGCCAGGGGGGGTCGGGCTGTGCTGCCAGGGAACAGGGACAGGATGAGAGAAAACAGCCCCAAGTTGTGCCAGGGGAGGCTTAGACTGGATATTAGGAAACTTTTTTCGTGGAAATGGTTGTAGAACATTGGAATGGGCTGCTCAGGGAAGTGGTGAAATCACCATCCCTGGAACTGTTCAAAAAACATGTGGATGTGGCCCTTGAGGACATGGCTTAGTGGTGATCGCTGTGGTGGTGCTGGGTTGATTGTTGGACTTGATGATCTTAAAGGTCTTGATGATCTTAAAGGTCTTTCCCAGCCTTAGCACCTCCATAAGTCTATGATTATAAATGTATTTCTTGTCTGGTGCATTTTCTATTAAATGTGCAGTGGTTCTGCTCCCAACAAACATCAGTGAGTCTGGGAGAGGCCCCACAGACCTCTGTGCTTTTACCTGTCAGATGAGAGGAGAAGATGCTCCCTGATAAGATCTCCTTGAGTAGTCACACACAATTTGTGTGGGCAAGCACAGCTCCTCCTTTCCAGGGCCAATTAGCTCAGGAGGAGCTGAGGTCACTCCTTGGGGTGCCATGAATTGAGCAATGGTGGCTCTCAGAGCACAGGACTCTGGTGGTTCCTGATCTCCAGCAAGACTCTCCTCTCCCAGAGGCCACATCTCAGGAAATCCTCCTGCTTTCACACAGCAGGGCAAAAAGCTTCTTCTCTTGGGAAACTAAGCCTAGAGACCCTTGACAGGACCCAGGACATCCCTCTGGCTGTCCTGAGCAGCCAAGAGCCCTGCCAGGGGTCTCACAGAGCCCAAAAATGCCTGTGTGGTTTTGATTATGACCCGTGGAGCAAGTTCCCAACCTTAGATGAAGATCTGCAAGCCAAGACAAATTAAGTAGAATGACAGTGAAGTTATCATGGGGTGAAAAAGTAGATTTTGGGGTTTCTAGAATGAAGGTTCAGGGGGCAAGATGGAGGGATCTGGGTGTGTCCAGCCTTTCTTCTTCTTCTTCTTCTTGGCCTCCATCTTCTGCTGTGATGGTGGCACTTTTGGATTGGTTTAGAGTGGAAGCTCACAGTCTAATATAGGTGATGGGTATTGGGAAGTAATTGTAAATGTTGTACACATAGTTTTTAGTATAAAGACATAACACTGCCCTGGGGGCAGGCAGAGTGCCTGGATTGTCCAGCTGGACAGACCTCAGCAGGACAGGAGAAAGAATTTTTTAGATAAGATTCAATAAACAACCTTGAGACCAAGAACTGAAGAGTTCTGACTCCTTCTTTGAGTGCTGGGCTGGGAAAAGAGACTTTCCAACTTTCCTTGGGGTTACTGTGACGAGCTAAAGATCCCAACAGCCCTTGACAGGCAGCTCAGTCAAGGCTGATCCTGAAGATCTTGGTGTCTCCCTGTTTGCCAACCTCATGGAAGGGCTCAGCAGGAGGGAGACCAAAAACAGGGTTTGGTTTCTTGGTCTGCTGCAGCCTCAGCCCAAGGTCTGGAGCGATGTGTTTGTTTTTTTCTCATTTCCTGGATGAGGTAAGGCAGGGTGGGCTGAGCACTGAGCTCATCCACACAGGGCCAAAGAGCAGATTTCCAAGGAATGGGGAGAGTGTGGCAGTGTCATCTTTAACCATCTGTCTGGCAGGGGATGCACAGCCCTTCTTTGGAGATGCTGCTGCTGGGACATTTATTGCCTTGTTTGGGGCTGAATTATAAATCAGAAGTTCCTCTCCCAAACCTCATTCCCTTGACCCAGACTATTCCATGACATGCTTACCAGTGTCCTAAATTGTCCCTGCTTTAAGGCCCATCATCCATGATGATGGTTGTATTATCTACTTAAATATGTTTGATGTGCAGCGACAGGGTTAAAACCCCAAGAATCAAATCAGCAGGACAGCCCTGCATCTGATTAAACCCCTCCACTGCTTCTCTCTGCCTCCCAACCATCTGGCAGGATATGCTCTTCCTAGGCAAAACCTCTCCAGGATTTGCTGTCAGGCCATTAATGATCAGTTTTCCTGGTGCCTTCACTCCTTTCCACCACAGCTCTGGCTTCCCAAACCATTCCTAGCTGGTGGATGATGGGGTGGAAGTTGTTCATTCCCATTCCCAGCTAATCAAGCTCCCAGCCCAGCCAGTTACTCAGGGTTGGGAAGAGTTTCCTGGGAAGTTTAAAGAGAGCAGAAAAACCTGAGGGGTTTGGTGCCATCTGGAGCTCCCAGCAGGTGGGAGAGGTGTGACCGTGCTGCTGAATTGCAGAATTGCCCTCAGTGCTGCTTTGCCAAGCTCCCAAAGGTGCCAGTGTGCAAAATAACAGCTCTGAGATGCTCACCCAGGGCAGGTTTATGGCACAGCACCCTGTACTTAGAACAATCTCCTTACATCAGCCATGTAGGAATGTGCCAGATCCTGCATCTTCCTGAGGCACAGACATTATCATGGCTCATCTCCTGTGGGACAGCCTGAACTCCTGGGGATGGGAGAAAATTCATCCATGGTGCTGCTGTCTCACCTTTGAGAGCCCAAAATGGTCAAACTTTTGACAACCCCCCACAAAAAAACAACAAAACAGAACAAACCACAGAAACCAAGTCTTGAGCTATTTTATTCTCTGAGTCAGAGGATGTGGAGCATTCACTCACCTTTTCTGGGGCAGGTCTAGAGATGTTTTGGGTTTTTTATAGGAGCACAGACTGGTTTGTGTTGGAAGGGACTTTAAAACCATCCAGTTCCACCCCCTGCCATGGGCAGGGACACCTTCCACTATCCCAGGCTGCTCCAAGTGCTGTCCAGCCTGGCCTTGGACACTTGCAGTGATCCAGGGGCAGCCACAGCTGCTCTGGGCACCACTCCCCAACCTCACAGGCAAGGATTTCTTCTGTATAACTAACCTCAATTTCAGTCTGAACCCATTCCCCTTGTCCTGTCACTCTGATGAACGGTCCCCTTCCAGCTCCCCATAGGCACCCTCAGATACTGGAAAGTTCTGTGAGATTTCCATGCAACCTTCTCTTCTCTCTCTGCATATGTATCCAGGATATATTAATATCCTTGTTCCCTCCTTGTTCTTTCCCTTGTGAGCCTCAGTTGGGATCATCATTCTCACAATGAGCAAGGTCTCGTGGATATTTCATGTGCAACATTCCTTGTGGAGGTGCTGCTGCTGGAGCTGCAGGGCACAGCCAGGCTGTTTCACCTGCAACTCTATGGGTACTCTGAGGTCAGCAAGGTTAGGAGGCACCAAAATTAGGAAGCACCAAAATTCAGGCCTCTGGCTCAGTGCTGGTGCCTTGTTTGCTTGGGAATGCACATGGACACATCAAGGGTTGTTTCCTCTGCCTCCCATCCCATGTGTGCCCAGCTCAGGGCTGCTCCTGCTGCAGTTCTTGTGTTACACAGTCAGTAAATTAGCACCTTGTTTTGCAAGCCTGATTAAAATAATAGCTGAGGCTGTCTGTGTTTGAAACTGTCGAGAAGGCAGGGAGGGTGTCCCTGCCCAGGCTCTGTGTCCTGCCTGCCTGCAGGGGGATCAGTCACCTGGCAGAGTCACCTTCTCCCTGCTGGCACGAAGGCATCGCCACCAGAAACACCCTGGGCAGAGGCAGAGAGCCTCCAAAAAACGAGTCTGTGCTGCTGAGGCAGAAATCCAACTCACACCAAAGCACCACCATGTGAACCACCGCACCATGCCACCTCATTAATGGATTTGCATTTCTGTCCCATCTGTTTGTCCCAGCAGACATTTCCTTTCACCCTGAGAGCAGCCAAGGTAACAGAGGTGCTTTGTTGTGCTCTTTTTTCTCAGGGATCCACCAACGTGGTTTACCAAGCCCACCATGTCAGCAGGAGTAAGAGAGGACAAGTGGTCGGCACCAGGGGAGGATTCCGAGGCTGCACGGTTTGGCTCACAGGTATTTCTGTCAGGCTGTGAAATGCAAGCCTGGCCTCACCTGTGCCAGTGTGGCTGCCAGGTGGGGGTTTGGGAGCTGCAGGAAACGTCAGCGCTCCCTGCGAGCCGCGAATTGCAAAACATCCCCACGTGGGAAAGGCAGCCACGCGGTGCTGGCGCAGCAAGATGTTCTCCCTGGCAGCTGCTGCCCAGAACGAATGTTTTTATGGATTTCCCAGCTGCTCTCAGGCTCCTTTGAACATGTCAGAGGCCCTCAGGGTAGCACTTGTTGTTCCCAAGTGTGTAGCTGAGGAAGCCTTGGCTCCACTCCAGCCAGTGTTTGGCAGTGGAACGTAGCCGGGGTTGTCCGAAACGCGGATGTTTTCATTCAGGAGCGGTGGGAAGTTCATTGGGACATGCAGGTCTGCTGGGTTTGAGGCAGCACGAGGCAGTCACCTTGTCTGGAGAACAAACACTCCCAGCCACAGAGTCACACTGGAAGCAATCCCTTACATTTGTTTTGTTGCCCTTCTCTTCTGTCTTGAAGTATAAACTCGTTGTCTGGGGATTAGGGGCTGCCAGAAAGGACAATTGCATTTCTCATTTCTAATATTTAGACAAGTCTGTCTTTTGCCAGTTGTCCAGTTGTTCCTTTGCTTGTTAAATATTGGCATTTTCTTTGGCTGCTGGAGGATGTTGAGGGACGTGCTTGGAAGGATTTGTAAAGCCATTCTGATTTGCCTTCCTGTCACCTTAGGTTGTAGATGCTGTTTAAAGCACATTTCTGTTCTGTTCTCCTCCTCAATTTTGAAGTGCCCAATCTGCTTTTATATAGTTTCTGAAGCCAAAAGCCCTACCCAAGGCAATTTCCTTCCTTTTTTGAGTATTACTCAAAAATCTTGGGTCTGAAAGGTTTGAGCTCACCTGGCTGATGGTTATTCTTTGAAATACACTCCTAGAGAAGGAGGTGATGGGGCCCTGATTATTCTTTGAAATACACACCTGGAGAAGGAGGTGATGGGGACCCTTTGTTGCCAGAGCCTGTCCCACTCCACGTGGTTGCAGCAAGAGCTTCTCCTTGGGTTCAGAATGGGAGAGCAGCTGGCTCTTGACAGTGGGAGCGGGGGGAGGAGGAGGAAGATGAGGAGAGACCTGGAGGAAGCAGCATCCTTTCAAATCTCCCCTGCTTCCTGGAACCCAGCATGGCCCAGCAAGGCACACTGCTGGGTTAGACCCCTCCAGAGGTTGGGCTGTAGATGCTTTTCTCAGGGCATTAAGGCCACCCCTCCAATAATAAGGGTTGAAAAGGTGAAGGTCCATGTATGAAGGTTCATCCTTCATCTGTGAAGGACAAATCCAACTTCCTTTAGGAAGGAATGAGGTAGGGAGCTTCAGACAGAAGGAGTTTGGCCACTGGTGTCACTTGTATTCACTCTCTTGACCTCAAACCTGACCCCTCACTCTTCTGCCTCCCCCAGGCCTTTCTGGAGCCGGCAAGACAACCATTGGCTTTGCTCTGGAGGAGTACCTGGTGGCTCATGGCATCCCCTGCTACTCCCTGGATGGTGACAACGTGAGGCACGGCTTGAACAAGAACCTGGGCTTCTCGGCCCAGGACCGCGAGGAGAACATCCGGCGCATCGCCGAGGTGGCGCGGCTCTTCGCCGACGCGGGGCTCGTCTGCATCACCAGCTTCATCTCCCCCTTCACCAAGGTAAGGGTGTGAAGATCCCAAGCATCCTGCTCTCTTCTCAGCTTCACCTCACATGATGAGGATGGTTTATGGAGAGGGTTTCCTAAAGGCACAAATGCTTGGTAGAACATTGTTGACACAACCGCGCGCGGTCAGTGTTTGGAGGGCGGCAGCCTTGCTGGATAAATTCAGTGCTGCACACTCATGAAAATCTAAGAGGAGTTTAAGATCTCCTTGCTATTAACTCCTCAGAGGTAGAAAAGAGACACAGAAGCAGCACAGAGGTAAATGCAGAAATGCTTTGTAGAACGCCACCGACGCACAACTGTGCGCGGTCAGTGTTTGGAGGGCGGCAGACTTGCTGGATAAATTCAGTGCTGCACACTCATGAAAATCTAAGAGGAGTTTAAGATCACCTTGCTATTGACTCCTCAGAGGTAGGAAAGAGTTACAGAAGCAGCACAGAGGTAAATGCACAAATGCTTGGTAGAATGCCACTGACACAACTGTGCACGGTCAGTGTTTGGAGGGTGGCAGACTTGCTGGAAAAATTCAGTGTTGCACACTGATGAAAAACTAAGAGGAGTTTAAGATATCCTTGCTATTAACTCCTCAGAAAGAGTCACAGAAACAGCAGCCTGTCCTAGATCTCTCGCTGGTTTTTTGGAAGATTTGACTGCGATTTTCACTTCCGTAGCTGCTGTTATCAGGGTGATGCAAGCAGTTCCTTTTTTTGTAGAATCAAGGAATCACTGATGCTGGAAAAGACCTCTGAGATCATCAGGTCTGATCATTTTCACACAGGGCAGATAATTAGTCATAATCTAAAGTCTGCTGTCCTGTCTAACGAAAAAGTCTTGAGGTTTTGCATGAGAAAAGATGAAAACAGATTGATGATGTATATTTTTACAAAATTTTTTTAAGTATCTTTAAAGAAAAGGAGGGAAGTGAGATGAAAAACCTTCTTAGAACTAGTGTACATTGAATAAATCTATAAGAAAGATGAATTTACTTGTGTCAAAATCCAGGGAGGTGTTTTTGTTGCAATTCAGATTTTTCCCATCTTTCTTCTAACAGGATCGTCGAAACGCACGAAAAATTCACGAGGCAGCTGGACTTCCTTTCTTTGAAATCTTTGTAGATGCTCCTCTAAATATTTGTGAAAGCAGAGATGTGAAGGGCCTGTACAAAAAGGCAAGAGCTGGAGAGATCAAAGGTATGGAGGAATGAGATCTTATTTTGCCTTTTGCTTTCCAAAGCTTTGGATGCCTTGTCCTGGCAGTGCCACAGTAGGGGTGGGTGTCTAAGGCCCTTTGTAGTGCACAAAAGGATCCTGTTCCCCTAATCTTACTGTCACAAATGTCACTTGTACCCAGCATGGTTGAATGCCTCCTGGTTGTTTGTACAGTGTTGTTGGCTCTAAGGCACTGATTATTCTATTAAACAAATTTAATTTGGGGGTTAATTGTCCGTAGGATTCACGGGCATTGACTCCGAGTACGAGAAACCCGAAGCTCCCGAGCTGGTGCTGAAAACAAACGTTGCATCGGTGTCTGAGTGCATCCAGCAGGTTGTGGAGCTCCTGCAGGCACAGGTGGGTCACTTTTGTGTCACCATCACTGGCAGCTTTGGAACCCAGCTTTGGGACACTGTCTTTTTGGTGTTCCCCTGAAAAACAGCGTGTTACAAGTGCTGCCTATCTCTATCTTTCAGAACATTGTGCCCCAGGGCTCAGTCAAGGATGTTCTGGAGCTCTTTGTGCCTGAGGATAAACTCAGCAGTGTCAGGGCTGAGGCAGAGAAGCTGCCAGCACTGGAGATCACTAAGGTATTGTCACATACAGCTTCTGACACTACTTAGCTGTGGAAGCTTCCAGGGGGATGTTGCCAGAGGGGCCTGTGTTCTTCTAATGGCCCTGACCTTTTGTGGCTGTGGTTTATGGTGAGCTGAGGTGGGATCCTGGTCCTCAGCCATTTTCTGCCATGTGTGCTGCAGGGTGTCAGTCTCCTCTGCTGTGTTCATACAGCCCCACAGGTTCAAAGTGAGCAGTCAGAGGGCAGGGTTTCGTGGGATACTGGGAGGCCCTGGCACAGGGTGCCCTGAGAAGCTGTGGCTGCCCCTGGATCCCTGGCAGTGCTGGATGGGGCTTGGAGCAGCCTGGGACAGTGGAAGGTGTCCCTGCCATGGCAGGGGTGACACTGGATGGGCTTTCAGGTCCCTTCCAACCCAAACCAGTCTGGGATTCTAAGTTGTGCTGTGAAACTGTGTGAGTCTTAAAAAGCCCCAAGCTACAATCTCCTGTGTCTTTCTCCCCCTTATGAACGTCCTGTATTTGAAGCAAAACAAAATGAAAATGCTGTTTCAGCAGAAGGGAAGGAAAAGCAACCTCTGGGTGTGACAGGAGTGTGACCCCTTTGGGTTTGTTTTGCAGCTGGATCTGCAGTGGGTGCAGGTGCTGAGCGAAGGCTGGGCCACTCCTCTGACAGGATTCATGAGGGAGGCAGAGTACCTGCAAGTGCTGCACTTTGACACCCTGCTCAATGGTATGGATCCCCTGTGTCCTCCTGTCCTGCCTTGTGGCACGCTCCTGAAGGTGGCCCAGGCCACCCTGCTGTGGCCACAGCCCTGGCTCACAGCTCTGACATCTCTCATGGTGCTGCTCAAACCTTCCAGCAGTTGTTGTGCGGCTCTGGTGGAGCTTGGCTGGACCAGGGTGTAAATAGAGATGCACACCCAAGGCCAAGGAAGCAGGGAGGCTGCCAGGCTCAGCTGGAGGTGGGAGGGGAAGGCAGCTGCTCCTTGGAAACAGGAGCAGAGCCTGGTTTTGCCCCCCACCCCATTTCCCTGCTTCTTCAGGGGAGTAAATCTGATTTATCTGTGCATTAGCAGCCTGCTAGAGGTGCTTGAAGTAAATCTGATTTATGTTAGCTTGAAGTAAATCTGATTTATCTGTGCATTAGCAGCCTGCTAGAGGTGCCTCATCCCTGAAAGAGGCAGAGAGGGCTCAGGTGATGCCCATCCACAGCTGGGACTGGGGCACAGATGTTTCCACCCCATTTCTCAGCTGTGGATGCTCTTGCTGGGACTTCACCTACACATGGGGTGCTCACATTGGGGTTTGTAGAGCTGGCAGTGATCTCTGCAAAGGTGAGCAAGTCCGTTTGAGCCTTGCATGCCTTCTGGACAATCCTGTGTTCCCACAGGGCAGAGATTTGCTGCTGTTGCTGAGATTTGGGCACAGAGGCAAAGCTCAGGACTGCTCACTTTGCACTGTGGGAGTGTCTGTGAGTGGGGGCCCTGCTCCCAGACACACCATAGTCTTTCACCTCCTGCCCAGTATGCAAACAGCACTCAGGAGCACATGTCCCTGTTATCAGAGCCTCCTCTGTGCTCTTTGAGCTGCTCTTGTGCCTGGGGAGGTCGCAGAGTGCCCTGGGATGGCCACGTTGCTCCAGAACCCTGTACTTTGTGCTCAGGCTCATCCCAGAGCAGATCTGGTTTTGGGGTGCCCCCCCAAACCTGCCAACATCCCTGAGCACATCTCTGAGCTCTGTGGGCAGGTGCTCAGGGTTTGTAGAGGAGCAGGGGATGAGCGGGGTTTGTGGGGAGCAGGGATGAAGCCAGGAGAGAGAGCAGCTTTGCAGGGGGATGAGCTCTGGGTAGCAGAGAGCAGCAGCATCTGGAGATCCTGTCTCCACAGGGCTCTCCAAACTCAGCATCAGTGTGCTCAGGGTGACATCTGAGTGGGAGAGAGAACACCAGCTGCTCCTGGAGAAGCTTTGGGAAGTTGTGGAGGGCTCCATCTCACTGGTGTGGCACTGCCCAGGAGAGGCTTGAGCCTGCTCTTCCCACAGCCATCGTGCCCTGGGCTGGCTGGTGGTCTGGGCAGCTCCTGTGGGGTTTTGGGGACATTTGTTCAAGCTCAAATCCCTCCTGGGTGCCCCAGCAGGTGGGTGATGTGCTTTGTGTAGGGCCACCAGGAAAAGGGTGGACCTGCAGCAATGCACCAGCAGCCTGTGACACTGCCAGGAGGGGTGACAGTGACACTGGAGGTGCTAGATCACACTCAGTGTGAGGCTGTGGTAGGACCATGGCCACGCCAGCAGGAGCTTTTAAGTGCTTTGAGTCTTGAAATGGTTTCTGTAACGTGCCCCTGAGTGTTAATTATCTTAATTATGTTTGTGTTCTCCCAGGAAAGCGGCGCTTGGGAGCTGGTATGTATGGAACTGTTCTCAGGCTCTGCACAAATTACCTCAACTGAGATTCTTTTTGACTATAATTTTTTGAGATTTACCAAAAAAACCCACAAACCCTTGAAATTACTATGAAATTATTACAGCCATGGCCCATTTATGATCCAGGCAACTCTGACACACCCCATGTCCCAGGGACCAGTCTGCACAAAGATCCCAGTTGTGTAATTTTGTAATTACCTGCACTGGAGTGATCTTTTGTTACCTCTCCATCCTGCATTTGGAAATGGAGCCTGAAGATCTTCACTTTCAGCAGCATTTGTTGGTTTCATAATGCAGCTTTATTTTTTTTTTTCCTATGCTGGCTTCATTGAATGATCATTATTAATATGATTTAAATGTATGAAGTTGATATTGATTGGATCCCATGTGAATATAATTATGATTATTCGTTGAAATTGCTGCCTGGCAGATGAATGATAGCCAGTTGTGAATTTAAAGTAAATGCAAATATTTTCATAAAAATTGAAGTAAAAATCTCTATCATAGCCAAAATCATCAAATTAAGACTCTCAAGGGTCCAACCTGATTTCAGTCAGATCAGAATGAATTGAATCAGTGATTTGTTTGTGACTGGAAATCCATCAAAGAGACTGATTCTCCTGTATAAACACTGGAATATTGTTAATATCCAAATATCCAAGGAGAAATGGGAGGACCTCAGTGGAACACAGGGAAATTGGGAGGGCTGGGTTAAAACCACCATGATTTCAAGCTATTTAGGGACAACACTGAAATTAGAAACTAGGTGTGCACTTACAGACTCACACAGAAAACAGATTAAAAATGGGCAGTGCAGAGATGTGAAGGAGAAGTAGCAATATAGAGATAGCCAGGAAAAAAACCAAACAAGAAAAAAAAAAACCAAATTAAAACTGAGTATGGTGGAAGAGGCAGCCCAGGAGGTGTGCAGGGCATGGGGTGCTCCAGGGAACACCAGCCTGGGGCCATCCCCACAGAGGAGAAGGCGGCATTTTCCAAACACGTTGAAAATTTTCAGTTTATCCAGGGTTGCATTTTGCCAGCAGATTTAAATATTTCACCTTCACAAGCAGCTAACGAAGAAGGACCAGGGCAAGGGAGAGTGCAGGAACTAATGAGATGCTCCAGATATCCTGGAGACACCTCTGGCCCTTAGATAAGAGCTTCTATATTCTGCTAATATCACAATTTATTAGCAGTGCAGAGGAATCTGCTGCAATGACTGATTTTCCATGAAAACCTCTGTTTCCTGTGCTCCCAGGCCTGCTTACAATTCTTGTCCACACAGGAGGATGTTCAACCCTCCCCTTCAAGGGTTGTAAACATCCCCACAGTGCTGCTGGTGTCCATGTGTCCTGGTTTAGGGCAAATTTGGGAGAAAACCTCCAAAGGGGTTCCTCTAGAGAGCAAATTCAAGCAGCCCTCCCCCAGCTGGTTCAGGAAAATATTTCCTTGGAGAAAAGTGCAAAAAAACCCTGTTTATTTAGCAGGTAAACATTCACCAGCACAAAAAATTATCAATATTAAACAATAGAACCTCTCACTGTTCTGAAGAGATGGCAAACTCAGAAAGTCCTCTCTGTGGGCTGTGGCTTAGCTCACTCAGTCTCTTATCAGTCCTTTATCAGTCCCTTATCAGTCCCTCTGGTGCTGGAAATGCCATGCCCCAGGCCCAGCCTGGTGGGCCACAGGTGGAGCTGCCAGTGCCCTTCTGGGTGTTCAGTCCAGAGCAGATTTAAACAGTTCCAAGAAAAGGAAAACCACAGTCCAGTGAAATTTTCTGCCTCAGCTAGCTAGAAGCTAACTAAAAGCAAAGGAGAGCTCTGTCCTGCTGTCTGTCTGTGCTGCAGACAGCACAGTTGTGGCATTCACATTCTCTGATAAAATCCCATCACCCAGGATTTTCTCCTGGGAAGCTGAGAGGCCTCAGAGAAAAGGAAAACAATTCTTATCTCATTTGCTTCTCCTGTGTTGTGCTCACATGTGAAATGTGTGTGGAGATTGTTTACCCACAGGTGATTGTGTCATTGGATTCTGGTGTGAATTGTTTCGACTCTTTGGCCAATCAGGGCCAAGCTGTGTCAGGACTCTGGAAAGAGTCATGAGTTTTCATTATTATCTTTTGAGCATTTAGTAAGTGTCTTTTCTGTATTCTTTAGTACATCATAGTATTCTTTAATACAATATAGTATTATAAAGTAATAAATTAGCCTTCTGAGAACATGGAGTCAGATTCATCTTTCATCATGAATGATACCTGGGATATTCCCAGCAAATGCAATCACACAGTCAAGGAGAAGGATGCAGGGAGCAAGTGCAGCTTGTGATAACAAATTCCACACTCCTTTTCTCCTCCCTTTGTTGTCAGAACCAGTCCTGAAGGTGCAAAACCTATTTCTGGGCTAAATAGGGGATAAAATTCAGGACCATAAAGCCATGCCAGGACATCCTACAGGACACATAGTGGCTGCAGGGTGCTGAGCCCTTTTCTGTGTCTCTGTGCAGATGGTGTGGTGAACCTGAGCGTGCCCATCATGCTGCCCCTATCAGCAGAGGACAAGCACCAGCCTTTGCTTGGTTCAGGGTGTCCCCAGCAGGCTGAAGCGCCTGGATAGTTCAGTCCTCTCCAGGACAGAATGTCTGAGTTCCCAAGCAGTTCTCAGCCACAGGCAACCTTAGCAAGCTTAAGTGAGATCAGCTCTTTAGTGATTATCAGCTCATTGTGATTTCAGCCCTTCAGCTTGCTAGGTGCTTAGGCAGGCAGACACAGGGAGAGAGAGGAGAAGGCTGTTTGGAGTTCCACAGTGATGTCTTTATTGAATCTTCTGAGAAGGGTTCCAGTGACAGTTCTTCTGCCCAAACTGGGCTAGAACAGCCCTTTATACAGGGTACAGGAGGATCAGAAATGGTCCAGTGGCAAGGGTTAAAGGAAAGTGACCTATAGGGTTACAGAGAGATAAACAGGGGTTCCAAAAGGGTCTTTCTAGCCCATTCACCATGACTTGACATTTCCTATCTTTAGGCTTGTGCACGCCACAGGGCCCTCGCAGAACATTGCACACTGCAGGGTGCTGAGCCCCTCTGTGTGTCTGTGCAGATGGAGTGGTGAACCTGTGTGCCCATCCTGCTGCCCCTGTCAGTGCAGGACACACAGCAGCAGCTGCAGGGTGCTGAGCCCCTCCTCTCTCTCTCTGTGCAGATGGAGTGGTGAACCTGAGCGTGCCCATCGTGCTGCCCTTGTCAGTGCAGGACACACAGCAGCTGCAGGGTGCTGAGCCCCTCTCTGTGTCTCTGAGCAGATGGAGTGGTGAACCTGAGCGTGCCCATCGTGCTGCCGCTGTCAGCAGAGGACAAGCAGCAGCTGCAGTGTGCTGAACCCTCTGTCTCTGTGTGTCTGTGCAGATGGAGTGGTGAACCTGAGCGTGCCCATCGTGCTGCCGCTGTCAACAGAGGACAAGCAGCGGCTGGAGGGCAGCACGGCGCTGGCGCTCAGCTTCCAGGGCCGCCGCGTGGCCGTGCTGCGCCGCCCCGAGTTCTTCGCGCACAGGAAGGAGGAGCGCTGCGCCCGCGTCTGGGGCACCACCTGCCCCCGGCACCCACACATCCAGGTGGGTCCTCAGCCCTGAAACCTGCCCAGGGCATGCAGAAGTGAGCTCTGCCAAGGTTTTGGGTGCCACCCGTAAGAAATGGTGCCTGGCTCCAATCCGGCCCAGCCCACACCATCTTACATAGGACAAGAGGCGCTCCCACGTGGGGACAGTCCTATTTTATTTCCTAGATTGGAGAGCACCAGGTTATCCAGGTGACTCCCCAGGTGGAAAAAAGAGGGAGTGGTCTTCTCTCAGGGGAATTTTGAGCTGGGAGGAAGGGGGCAATGTGATACAAGTGAGGAGGGGTAAACCAGGAGGAGAGCACCAACACTGAGGCTAGGGGGTAAAGAGGAGGACCATGTGATGATAGAATACAAATCATGTGAACAGTGCAAATTACCAAACACCCAGTGCAAATAGCTAAATAACTGTTTAGTGCAATACGACACAGGTGGGTCCTGCCCCTCCCTGCCACAGGAAGCGCGGCCTGGGGTGTGAAACATGGTCAGGGGATGGAGAAGTGAACTTTGCCAAGGTTTTGGGCGCCAGCTGTAAGGAGTCGTGCCTGGCTCCAATCCGGCCCAGCCCACACCATCTTACATAGGACAAGAGGCGCTCCACGTGGGGACAGTCCTTTTTATTTCCAAAATTGAAGAGCACCAGGTCATCCAGGTGACTCCTCAGGTGGAAAAAAGAGGGAGTGGTCTTCTCCCAGGGGAATTTTGAGCTGGGAGGAAGGGGGCAATGTGATACAAGTGAGGAGGGGCAAACCAGGAGGAGGTAACCAAAACTGAGGCTAAGAGGGAAGAAGAGGAAGACCATGTGATGATAGAATACAAATCATGTGAACAGTGCCAATTACCAAACACCCAGTGCAAATAACTAAATAACTGTTTAGTGCAATACAACACAGGTGGGTCTTGCCCCTCCCTGCCACAGGAAGCACAGCCTCGGGGCTGAAACCTGGCCAGGGGATGGAGAAATGAACTTTGCCAAGGTTTTGAGGGCAATGGGTTTCCTGTCTGAGCTTCCAGTCCAGCTCCTTGCTGGGAACCAGCCCATCCCAAGCAGGTAGGACTGATTTTATTTGGCCACCAGCTTATCCCAAGCAGACAGGACTGAATTTTTTGGCCACCAGCCTGAGCAGGCAGGACTGAATTTTTTTGGCTACCAGCCCATCCCGAGCAGGCAGGACTGATTTTTCAGTCACCAGCCCATCTCAAGCATGCAAGAGTGATTTTTTGGCTTTTCCCTACAAGCAGCCAGCAGGGTTGGTGTGTTTTTGCAGCTTCTCTCTTCCCCCTTAGTCTGTGGCAGTACAAGGAGCATTGTCCCTGGGAAAGGGAGAGCTCTGGGTTCCACACAGTGACTTGAGCTTTCTCCCTAAAACGGCTACAGCTGTGGTAATTCTTTCCCCTCCCTTAAAATGCCTGGTTTAATTATTCAGCAGCAGGTGTGTGCCTTGCAACAGGCTCATTCCTCCTGTGTGTTCCCAGCAGGAAAGCAAAGGGGGAGCTGGAGGAAGGTCTTGTGCCTTCCTATAGACTGCTGGCTGCCAGAGGAGAGGCCAGCACACAGCTGGGGGGACTGGGTGGCTGCTGCCCCACTTGGTGAGGTTTTGCTGCCCAGGATTTTGTTCACATGGTCACTGCAATGATGTTTTCCACCTGAGACAAGGGAAGGTCATCCCGCAACGGGATTGGGCCTCACAGTGTTCAAAGGAGACTGGGAGAAGGAGGAGTGTGCTGTCCCCTTTGCACTGAAGGTGTGTGTAATTCCCAGATGGTGATGGAGAGTGGAGACTGGCTGGTTGGTGGAGACCTGGAGGTCCTGGAGAGGATCAAATGGAACGATGGGCTGGACCAGTACCGCCTGACCCCGCTGGCTCTCAAGCAGAAGTTCAGGGAAATGAATGCTGGTGAGTGCCCTGGGTTACACCAGTGACAGGGCTCTTCCTGCCCCACCAGGCCTTGGTGGGATCCATGATGTGTTCTCAGCACTTCCAGGTGGCTTCTGGATGCTCCCAAAGCGGGGCTGTTTGGGAGGGTGGGCAGTAAAGGGGACTCAGGGCATGGCACAGGTGGCACAGGGCTCCTTGGTCAGGGCAGTGCTTGTGATGGGCTGTGTCCCCAGTGGGCCGCTCTGAGGGATGAGCATCCTGCTCACATCCCCCCTGGCAGCTCAGATCCTCTCTGCACTGACATTCTTGGCCTTCACACCTGGGGCACAGCTCAGGTGTCTCCTCCCAGCTCTCTGTCCCATGGAATCCCAGAATGGTTTGGGTTGGAGGGACCTTAAAGCTCATCCCATTGCACCTCCTGCCATGGGCAGGGACACCTTCCATGCTCCCAGGTTGCTCCTGCTGGTGGTCCCAGCAGGATGGCAAGGGTCAGACACCCACCCTCAGTTTGGGGAAAGAACATTGGCCCTCCTGCAGGTGCCACTGAGCTTGGGGAGGTGACAGATCACTAAAGACATCAGTGCAAGTGTCCGGTGCTGTGCACAAATGTTATAGGAGAGCTGATAGGGCTGAAATCAGCCCCAAAGAAAATGAATGCAGGGAAAATAACCCTGGCAGGGTGATATGTGTGTGTGAAACACTCAGGGTTCTGTTTGTGTGGAGACAAAGCACACACAGCTCTGCCATGGCACACAGCGCACACACAGCTCTATCCTGGGACACAGGGCACACACAGCTCTGTCATGGCACACAGGGCACACACACAGCTCTGCCATGGCACACAGGGCACACACAGCTCTGCCATGGCACACTGGGCACACACACAGCTCTGCCATGGCACACAGGGCACACACTGGGCACACACACAGCTCTGCCATGGCGCACAGGACGCACACACAGCTCTGCCATGGCACAGTGGGCACACACACACACACAGCTCTGCCATGGCACACTGGGCACACACAGCTCTATCCTGGCACACAGGGCACACACAGCTCTGCCATGGCACACTGGGCACACACAGCTCTGTCATGGCACACTGGGCACACACACAGCTCTGTCATGGCACACAGGGCACACACAGCTCTGTCATGGCACACAGGGCACACACAGGGCACACACAGCTCTGTCATGGCACACAGGGCACACACACACACAGCTGTGTCATGGCACACAGCTCACACACACAGCTCTGTCATGGCACACAGAACACACACACAGCTCTATCCTGGGACACAGGGCACACACAGCTCTGTCATGGCAGACAGGGCACACACAGCTCTGCCATGGCACACAGGACACACACAGCTCTCTCCTGGCCCTGTGCAAGCCCACAGTGTGACAATGACCTCCGTGTCCCCCCACCTTTCCCTTGCAGACGCCGTTTTCGCCTTCCAGCTGCGCAACCCCGTGCACAACGGGCACGCGCTGCTGATGCAGGACACGCGGCGGCAGCTCCTCGACAGGGGCTACAAGAACCCCGTGCTGCTGCTGCACCCCCTGGGGGGCTGGACCAAGGATGATGATGTCCCCCTGGAGTGGCGCATGAAGCAGCACGCTGCCGTGCTGGAGGAGCAGGTCCTGGACCCCAAGTCCACCATCGTGGCCATCTTCCCGTCTCCCATGCTCTACGCCGGCCCCACCGAGGTAAGGCAGCTCTTGGCTGCTCAGCAGGGCTGGGCAGGCAGCCTGTCCGTGGGGCTGTGCTCACAGCCTGCCTGGAAAACCCCGGGAAGGGGCTGGAGCTGTGGCCTCACTCTTGGTTCCCTGCATGGTTTGTCCGTGTTTGCTGCTGCAGCATCCTCCTTAGAGCTCTGCTCCTACAGATCACATCCTTTCCTGGGCTGTGGAGAGAGGACACAAACAGGCTTCACCTTGTTCTGGCAGGCAGGGACATTGATTTGAAACCCCTTGTGTCCCTAAATCGGTGGGATAAAAGGGGCAGATGCTGAACATCCCCTTCCCTGTGCTGGGCATCACCACCTTGGCACGCTGAAAATTCAAACAGACCCAGCCTATAGGAATGTGCCCCTTGTTGATGGAGTGGCAGAACTGTCCTTTGTCCCCTCAAAAAGGAAATAAGCCCAGAAGTTTCTCTCCTCAATTGGGTGAAAAACACCTCATAGGATCTGGGGGGTTTCACCTCAAACTTAAGGATAGCCAATTGGACAGGAGCCAAAAAGTCCCACCTGAACAATTCACTAGAAAAAGAAGAGAACAAAGACACAAATTCTTTTTGTGAGGTGTTTAACCAGGAGAAGAACCTCTGGCACCTGGCTCGGTGTTTCTCTGTAAAGAGTTTTGTTATTTTGCCTTTTATTAAAACTTTTTTGTTCCCAACACTGCCACAGAAGCCATCCTGCTGATTTTATGCCTTCTGAGGTAGCTGAGCTATCTTGGGTGTGAAATAGATCTCCAAGAGCCTATGAGACCTGGCTCAAGGAGACCCTATTTCAGCAGCCCAATTCCCTCTCCCTGCCTGTGTGTGAAAAACACCAGGCACTTGTTTTTAAAATTTTAAAAGTTTAATTGTAATAAAACGGTTATAAAAATAGTAATACAATTAGAGTAATAAAAATTTGGACAATTGAGTTTAGGACCATATGAGACAATAGAAACCAAGAGTTACAGACAGTTCAGATACCTCTTTCTGGGCAAAATAAACCCAAAAAAGGCCCCACATTAACAGAGGATTAACCCTTAAAAGCAACAGCCTGTTGCATATTCATACACCTCATCCATGATGCATAAATTCCATTCAAACACAGGATTCTGTCTGGCAGTGTCAGCTTCTGCCTCTGAATCCTGACGGCGTCTTCAGGGCTGAGCAAGGAGGGAAGAAGTTCATTTCTCCTGATAATGGAGCAATAAATTCTCTTTCTCTGCAAGATTCAGGTGTCCTGTGGCTGCAATCTCAGTGGGAGTACCTCATTCCTTTCTTTAAAAAATAATCCCACATACATAGCTTCTATTTTAACATTATGTTATAACCTAAAACTATATTTTACACACTACTTGGGTAAATTATTACAGGATAATTCTCTAACACAACACATATGTGAAAAATGTGTATTTTGTGATTGGCCTTTCTCAAATATTAAAATGAATTTTATATGTGTTGTGTTAGAAAGTAATGCTGTATTAATTCTCTTAAGTAGTGTGTGAAACATAGTTTTAGGTTATAACAAAAGGATAAAATAGTAACTATGCTATGTAGGATACTTTTTTCCTAAAGAAAGGACTCGCAGCGAGATAGCAGCCACAGGACACCTGAATCTGTCAGAGAAAGGGAATTTATTGCTCCATTATCAGGAGAAACAAATTTCTTCCTGCCTCGCTCAGGATTGGAGATTAGGATTAGGAGGAAGAAGCTGACACTGCCCAGACAGAATCCTGTGTTTGAATGGAATTTGTGCATCATGTATGAAGTGTATGAATATGCAACAGGCTGTTGCTTTTAAGGGTTAATCCTTGTTAACGTGGGGCCTTTTTTGGGCTTATTTTGCCCAGAATAAGGTACCTGGAGGTCTGTAACTCTGTTCTTATTGTCTCATATTGTCCTAATCCAAATTGTCCAAGTTATTATTACTCTAATTATATTGCTATTTTTATAACCATTTTATTGCTATTAAACTTTTAAAATTTTAAAAACAAGTGATTGGCGTTTTTCACAGCAGCCACAGGACACCTAAATCTGTCAGAGAAAGAGAATTTATTGCTCCCTTATCAGGAGAAACGAACTTCTTCCCACCTCGCTCAGGATTGGAGATTAGGATTAGGATTAGCTGGAAGAAGTTGACGATGACCAGACAGAATGCTGTGTTTGAATGGAATTTATGCATCATGGATGAGGTGTAGGAATATGCAACAGGCTGTTGCTTTTAAGGGTTAATCCTCTGTTGATGTGGGCTTATGCTACCCAGAAAAAGGTACCTGGACTGTCCATAACTCTTTGTTCTTATTCAGTCATATTGTCCTAAACTCAATTGTCCAAATTATTATTTCTCTAATTGCATTACTATTTTTATAACCCTTTTATTACAATTAAACTTTTAAAATTTTAAAACCAAGCGATTGGCGTTTTTCACAACATACAATATTCATTTTAATAATTGTGAAAAGCCAATCATAAAATATATGTTTTTCACAAAAAACCCTGCCCCAGGCCCTCCCTGTGCCCATCCTCAGTCCCCGTGTCCCCTGCCCGCAGGTGCAGTGGCACTGCCGGGCCCGGATGGTGGCCGGGGCCAATTTCTACATCGTGGGGCGCGACCCGGCGGGAATGCCGCACCCCGACACGCGGCAGGACCTGTACGAGCCCACGCACGGCGGGAAGGTGCTGAGCATGGCCCCCGGGCTCACCTCCGTGGAGATCCTGCCCTTCCGGGTGGCTGCCTACAACAAGACCAAGAGAGCCATGGACTTCTACGACCCCAAAAGGTAAAGGCAGCCCTGGTTTCTCCACAGCGTGGGGTCGCGGCTTTTTGGGGACAGGGAAAAGTCCCCAAGGAGAGGAACGGGGCAGAACCTGGGAAAGGCGCCTGTGTGTTCTGCCAAGAGGTGTCACGTGGAACTAAAGGTGCCACCAGGGAGGACAAGCAGCACAGGCTGGGGGCTCAGAGGATGTAGGAAGGATGGGAAGTGTTGTGGGCACTGCAGCTCCTCTGGGATGAGGAGCCCTGGGGGTGACTCGGGCCTGTGGGGTTTGTGGGGGTCCCCAGGAGGAGGGAAGAGATGAGAATCTGACTCCCAGTTCTCAGAAGGCTGATTTGATATGATATGATATGATATGATATGATATGATTGATATGATATATATTTGGGATGTGGTCTGGACATTGTTTACCAACATGTGAATGTTTAATTGTTTCTATGTCAATTGTTTTAAATTAATATTATATATTATGTTATATTACATTACATTATATTATATTACATTATATTATATTACATTACATTACATTATATTACATTACATTATATTACATTACATTATATTACATTACATTATCTTATATTACATTACATTATATTATTTGGAATGTGGTCTGGACATTGTTTACCAACATGTGAGTGTTTGACTGGTTCCATGTGAATTGTTTTTAATATAGATTATATTCTATATATCACATATCATATAATATATTCTATTATATCACATATCATATCATATCATTTGGAATGTGGTCAGGACATTGTTTACCAACATGTGAGTGTTTAATTGTTTCTATGTCAATTGTTTTAAATTAATATTATACGTTATATTACATTACATTATATTACATTACATTATCTTATATTACATTACATTATATTATTTGGAATGTGGTCTGGACATTGTTTACCAACATGTGAGTGTTTGATTGGTTCCATGTGAATTGTTTTTAATATAGATAATATTCTATTATATCACATATCATATATCATATATCATATTATATCATATTATATCATATCATATCATATCATATATCATATCATATATCATATATCATATATCATATATCATTTGGAATGTGGTCTGGACATTTTTTACCAACAGGTGAATGTTTGATCAGTTCCATGTAAATTGTTTTTTTTTATATATATATGTGTGTATATATATAATATTGTATATTATTTTTATATATATACATAATATATAAAATATGTTATATATTACATTACATTACATTACATCACATCACATTATATCATATATATTATATATATATTTTATATATATGTATTATTTAGTTAATATATAATATTACATTATATTATAGTTATACTAAAACTAGACTATAGAAAAAGAAAAGATACATCAGGAGGCTTAACAAGAATGATAATGAAAGCTTGTGACTGACTCCTCAGAGTCTGACACAGCTGGCTGTGATTGGCCATTAATTAAAACCAATTCACATGGACCCAATCAGACATTCACCTGTTGGTAAACAATGTCCAAGCCACATTCCCAAGCAGCAAACACAGCAGCAGCAATCAGATAATTGTTGTTTTCATTCTTTTCTGGGGTTTCTCAGCTTCTCAGGAGAAAAATCCTGAGCAAAGAGGGTTTTTCAGACAATGTCCTGGTGGCGTGGGCCAGCAGTGCTGATGTCACCCGTCTCTGTCTCACACAGGCACGATGACTTTGACTTCATCTCAGGAACACGCATGAGGAAGCTCGCTCGGGAAGGGGAAAACCCCCCCGATGGCTTCATGGCCCCCAAAGCCTGGAAGGTCCTCACCACCTACTACCAGTCACTGGAGAAAAAGAATTAACTCCTCCTCCTCCTCCCTAGAAAAGCCTGTATTAATAGTGAGCAATGATCCATTGATTCCCTGTGACACAGATCACTTGCCATGACCCTGGGATGTTCCTACCTGGGTCAGAGCGTTTTTTACCAATCAGAAATACTTTCAGCCTGATCCTTCTCCCCTGAAGCTGCTGGGGGTGTCCCCATGGAGTGGAAGGGATGGGGAGAGGGCCCTTTGTTCCCAGCTGGCACCAGGACGTGCCACGGTGCTGCCAGCGCAGAGGGGACCCGGGTAAATCCTGCCTGTGCCCTGCCTGGAGCAGAAATGAAGAAGTGCCTTTCCTCATTGTGCCTTAGACAGTTTTTGCTAATTAACAGCAGAATCTTTTTAATGCCTCTTTTTATAAAAAGGACTTTTTTAAGATCAGCTGTGACCACCTCCAGTTCCTTGTGGCTGAGCCAACTCCTCCCTGCTTCCTTCCTTCCTTCCTTCCTCCTGCTTGACCTCTGGGCTGAGCATTCCTGTTGCTCCACGTTCAGGAGCCTGTGAGGATGTGCCATGTTATCCCTGGCACAGGGATCCATCCCTGCACTCACAGCCCAGCTGGGGAGCCTCTCCTGGGAGGCACCACAAACCCTGAGATCCCTGAGAAAGCTCTGCACAGCGAGGAGAAGTCAGGGATGCTGGCACTGTGCTTCCAGGTGTCCTCCCAGGTGGCAGCATGGGCTCCCCCTTCCCTCTGCCCCAAAGGCAAATCCGGGACAAAACAGCAAAGTCACAGCACCAGGAGGGTCTGGAGAACCGGCTGAGAGAGGCTGCAGCCTCATCCACACCTGTGTGGGTGCAGGTGACCTGATTTAATCTGTGTCTGCGGATGGGGACAGCCCGAGGATGGCAGGGGACAGCCCGAGGGTGGCAGGAAGCCCTTGTCCCCCAGCCCTGTGTGGTGCTGAGCCCAGAGCCCCGTGCTGCCCCAGCCTGGCTGTGGAGAGTCCCCGCGGTCATTGTCGCCTTCCCCACCCTCACCCGGCACGGACATCGGCAATGCCCCGCCCGAGGCTTTCCCGCTGGCTCGCAGGAGCCGCCGAGGTGACAGAGCAGCGACAAACAGCGACAGGACAGCGTGGGGCACGGTGGCAGCAGAGCAGGACAAGCAGCGCTCGCTCATTGCAGCCTCACTGCGGGGTTTGTGCACCTGGCCCCAGGTGTTCAGCAGCGGCCCCGGGAGCCCTCGGGATGTCCCCAAGGAAGGACAATCAAGGACAATCAGCGTTCCTCTATCCTTGTGCTCCTCTTTGAGTTCGAGCTGGATCCACACTCAGCAAAACCATCCTGCTCTTGCTCGGGACTGTGAGCTACAACCTGCTCTGCTGTGGCCAGGGCACACTGCCCAGACCTTCATCTATGACTGGAAAATATCCTTGAAAAAGGGTTTTAAAGTCTTTTATTTAAGCATTTGGAGGAAATCTGTGTTTTACCCCAAGGCAAATGCTGCAGCCTCCGTGGGAGCTGCCAGAGCACCAGCACCAGCCTCACCCAGCCAGGCCCCAAAAGTGACATTCCCAAAAGTGACATTCCCATTTAGGATTTCTAAGGAGTGAAACAGCACTGTTGCTGCTCATCATGAAACAATCCTGTCCCCCCCCCAGTGAATCCAGGTGGTCACAGCAGAACACAGATGTTGTGTTATCATTTTAAACCAGAGTAGTGTCCTGATTACCTCTGATCGAAGCACGTGGACTGGGGGGTTTATAGTCTATTTATTGAAGACATGAGACTGGAATTTGTACCTCAGCTGATGCATCTCATGATTTAATATATTCTGAACTCGATACTCTATGAAACACTCACTTTTAGTACAAATAAATATTTATATGTGTAAGCAGCTTTCACTTGGTGGTTTTTGGGTGGAGCTTTGCTGGAGGCTGGCTCAGCCTGGGCCATGCTGTGCTTGAGCAGCTGTGCCTGGAGATGTGCGAGAGGAATTGGGCTCTTCCCCTTTCAGAGAGGCAGGATCAGGTGCTGAGGGCTGGACCAAGCCTCTGGAGCCATGGGATGAAAGCAGCCACGTCCCAAACCTTCAGCCTTTGGAGGGAGCTGCCAGAGGGTTTGTGCTCTGACAAGGACTCCCATAGCAGCAGCAAGAGTGGAAAATGTGGGAGAGTTCCTGGAGAAGTGGGAATTGCACTCCAGCTGCAGAAACCGCCCCCAGGAGCAATCAGAAATGACTCCTTGTGCCTCTCCAGCCAGCCCCCGAGGAGTTCTGGGAGCAGGGAAGGGCAGCTCCGGCCAGAGCCGGGATTTTGGAGGCACCAGCAGCACATCAGGGCTCAGGAGTGACCAGGGGCTGTCCCGGGTTTGTCCCGCTGCCGTGCCCGCCCTCGGGGTGACATTAACCCCCTGAGGGCGCACTTCACACTCAATTAAAGCCAATTGAGACTTGCCTGCGCTGGGGTTTTACCGAGCAGGAAACAGCCTGAAAATAGAGTACGAACAGCCCTCCAGCACTCGGTGCACTGTCTGATGTCAAACTGCAGAGCCAGCAACCTGAACTACTGCCCTTTTACCCAGATATCTCCTGGAGAAAGTGAAATTATGGGTGATATGGGGCGGTATCGCTGCCACCAGCCACTGGAGGAAATGAGAAGGAGCCAGCAACAGAGGCAGGAGGTGCAGGAGGAGCTCCCCAGGCTGGCATTTCCCAGGTGTAACAACCCCTGAGCAAGGTGAGAGCAGGGCCTGACCACACGGGGAACTTCCTGGGGACAGGGGCCGTGCCAGTCTTCCCAGGGAGCCCAGGGAGGAGCACTAACGGCAGGTTTAAGATTACTCATGGAATCATGGAATTGTTTGGGTTGGAAGGGACCTTAAAGCCCACCCAGTGCCACCCCTGCCATGGCAGAGACACCTCCCACAGTCCCAGGCTGCTCCAAACTCCATCCAGCCTGGCCTTGGGCACTGCCAGGGATCCAGGGGCAGCCACAGCTGCTCTGGGCACCCTGTGCCAGGGCCTGCCCACCCTGCCAGGGAACAATTCCTCATTCCCAATATCCCATCCAGCCCTGCCCTCTGGCACTGGGAAGCCATTCCCCCCCTTGTCCCGTCTCTCCATCCCTTGCCCAAAATCTCTCTCCATCCTTTCTGTAGCCTCTTCAGGCCACAATTTGGTCACCCCAGAGCTTCTCCTCTCCAGGCTGAACAATCCCAGCTGTGCCAGCCTTTCCTCCCAGCAGAGCTGCTCCATCCCTCTGCCCATGCTGGTGCCTCCCCTGGGCTCATTCCTGGATCCCAGGCTCACCCAGCCGCAGTCCTGAAGTGATTTATGGGATTTACATCCCAGACTTTTCCCATTTCCATATCCCAGCAGTTCTGCTGTGCTTAAATTCCTGCACCCTGTGTTAGACCATTGTGCATCTCCCACTGCTTTGGATATAGGGAAGAAGTCTATGCAATTATTCAATTATTTTTATCCTCCCCCTCCCATTAGGTTTTAGGATTAAACTGGCACAAACCCAGCCCTGCACTCCAGAGGGCAGGACAGCAGGGAGCAGGCTGAGCGTGAGGGACACTGTCACCAGCCCCTGACACCGTGTCATGGCAGGGCTCCAGCCCTCCTTATTTCACTTTATTTTCCTTTGCAGTGCATTTGGTTTTACATCATTCTGTGCCTCCAATGTTTCCCTCCCCTCACAGGCAGCAGAGCTGTGACACAGCATCCCACCCTGGGCTTTGGACAATTAATTCCCTTTACAGATTTGGGCTCAATTAGTGCACAGTTCATAGCATTATATGAAAAAAACCTCAAGTTTTTGACTATCTCTGACAATAACTCCACTAAAATAAAAACCCCAAACATTTTTGCCACTCACATTTGTAACCCTTGGCCTTTATCACAACAGAACGTTACAAGAATTCACCAGAACTGGTACCAGCAAGGACAGCACGTTGCTAAACCACATCAATAAGCCCAAAATCCATTTCCTCCTCTTGAAATTCACAGATCTGAGCATGGGACAGAGTCAAACATCACACAGTGTCCCCGCTGTGCCTCAGGGCTGTGACACTTCAGGGGATGGTGCCACGGTGGGGCTTGCAGAGACCGAGGGAGAAGCAAGTCCTGGGGACAGTGCACAGGAGCCCAGAGAGCTCAGAGAATGTGGGGATTTAGGAAAGAGCAAGTGGGGTTCTACTCTAGCTGCTCACAGCAAGGGAAAACCAAAAATAAAATCAGCCTTCATTTAAAAAGCCTGCAAAAGCAGAATTCATAAAAAAATTAAAAGTATTCAAACATTTTTACAGAGTAGTTTACTATCTTGACTAAATGGCACCAGATTTCAAGTGGTCATGTGGAAGAAAAATCAGTAGCATTTCAAATGTTGCTTTGTTCTAGGAGCAGTTTCTATCCTGGCATTTGCTGCTAAAAGGTACAAGTGAACTGAGTATCGAGGAATCTTTCCCCTATACAGCTTCTGATTTGGTTTGCTTCAGGAAGGAAGTAGAAAAGATTTTCCATACTCAAGTTATCTACAGATTATGTCTATATATATAAAAAAAAGTGTGGCTATGTACAGGTCCTGCACTCACACACCCATCTGTACACAGCCAGCCCGTGCCAGGCCCTGCCCCTGGCCCTGGGAGCAGCCACTCCTGCTGGGAGGCTCCAGGGATCCCTGGGACAGCACTCAGGCTCCTGGGCTGGCCTCAATTGTTCCACTCATGATCTGTGCTTCCACTCCCACTGGGAATTGCAATAACTTAAGAGGTTGTTGTTGTATAAAAACGATTCCAGGAACAGAACTCCCTTTGCCACCCCTGCTCCCACCCCCTGACACTGGTTTTGCTAACTGATTACAGAAGTCAAACTAAATCACGTCAGGAACTGCAAACACACTCTTTTGTCTTAATCAAACACGATCTCCATGGCCAGGTTCTGCATGGAGACATCCTTGGATTTCCTCATCTTCTCGATGGCCCTGTGGAGATCCTGCTGCTGCACGGGCCGGATCTCATCCTCATCGTGCCTGGGGGAGAGACAGACACCAGCCAGGTGAGGGCCAGGGGCTGGGACAGCTGTGCCCACCCTCACAGCCATCCCTGCCACCAGCAGCTCTGCATGGATCCACTGGAACCACAGAATTCCCGAGGCTGGAGAATCCCTGCCAGCCCATGGAGTCCCAGCTGTGCCCAGCCCAGAGCACTGAGGGCCACCTCCAGCCCTTCCTGGGGCACCTGCAGGGCTGGGCACTGCAAAGCTCCCTGGGCAGCCCCTGCCAAGGCCTGGAATGGAATTCCAAAATGGAATGATGGAACTGGGATTATGAGTGTGGAGTTTGAATATGGAAGACTTAAGAGTTTAAGGTTTTAGAATACAGTAATATATATAAACAAGATTGAGGTTGTAAGGTGAAGGCTGGTCCTTCTTCTTCACCTTCTTCTCCATGGGTTTGGGTGGTTTTGTTTAATTGGATAAAAAAGTCCACATTGCAGGCCATGGGTGGTTGGTTTTGAGTTAAAAGTAAAAATAATTCAGGTGTCATTTCTTAATTGGACAGTTTATCCTTAAAAGGCCTTGCAGAGAGAGAGATGGAGCTCCATTTTTAGTTTGTTAGAGGGAAGTGCTGTAGAACTCAGGGTTTGTGAGGCTGTAATAGAGATAATTCACCCTTTCCATGCAGAAATTGCTGCTGCTGTCCCAGCTGAGCCTCCCCTGGCCCAGCCTGAGGCCCTTTCCCCTTGTCCTGTCCCTGTTCCCTGGCAGCACAGCCCGACCCCCCCTGGCTGTCCCCTCCTGGCAGGGAGTTGTGCAGAGCCACAAGGGCCCCCTGA